TTTTTTTTTTTTTGGGGGGGGAAAAGTTTTGACAACTGAGTTGACAAAATAAGGCAGCAATACTGATTCAACTATATCGGTATCAGTTGCTCTACAGGTGAAGAAAAAAAACGTTTCTTGAACTAAAAATAGAAAAAAAAAACTACTTCTTCTGTTTCAGTGTTTGTTGGGGACGATAGTTTAAAAAAAAAATTCTTTTTTTGTTCACTGTTGATCAAATTTTTCTTTAGTTTTCTATTTTTATTATTTTTTTTATTTGCCAAAATATGTAGTAATAGAGTTCTGAAAACTCATATACGCTGAAATACAATGACTTTTTTATCTTATTAAAATCAACTTAGCATTCGTATTATTCGTTCGGCTTACGCGATAGTTTTGTTGAAACAAATTCGAATTGCTTAGATGTTATAAGCAGTAAATAGCGCTAATAGTTTTGCTAAATTATTTGACGAAATACGATTAAAATTTGAAGATTTTTGGTCAATTAATTGTAAGTAAATGGAGTACAGTAAACGGCGAAGAAATAAGGCAACATCAGAATTTTGCTTAATTGTATTTCTGCTTTCTTCTCAAGAATAAAGTCGGTGGAGAAGAGTTTAGCACAAAATAAGTTTTTGATTGCAAGTGACATTTTGTCAAAATTTTTGGGATTTATTCTGAGAAATATCACCAATTTGTGTTGGTATGGCTGCCCCCACTGTGACAGCATTGTCCCAATGTAAACACTTATTGAATTCGGTTTCTGTTGACTTTCTGACTCTGATACAGTATTTGAAGTTTATTATTTTTTTGCTTTTGGAGTTTTCTTTGACGACACCCGAAGAATTTTTTTTATTTCTTAGGAGTATGAATTACCGTTAACTAAACGACAATAATATTATTTTTTTTAATGTTCTGTGCAGAAATTAACAGTGTTTTTTTGGTTATGACAGTATGACAGAATAGTTTTTTCGTTCTTTTTTTTGTTAAAAACGAATTAATGCATTTGTTTTTCGTAGTTTGTAGGAGGAAATATTCTTTCAGAACATCGCAACGTTTGCCGTGCTTGTCGACTGAAGCAGTGTTTTTTGGCTGGAATGAATCCACGTGGTACCATAATTTTTTCCTTATTGTTTCATTATTATTCAACTTTTATGCCTAATTGTTTTCATTGGGCATTCAAATTTTCGTTTTATTTGATCGCTGCTTATGGCTGTTGTCACTTTCCCTATTTTTATATCTGGTTTTTACAAGATTTTCAGTACGGTAAAGGTTTTTCTTTTATTATATCAGGTTTCTAATCACCGTTTGCTGCTTTTGCTTCTCTACTGAAGCGCGTAGTTTGGATACTCAACGACTATTTTGGGTTTTTTTTTTGAAGACATTTATAGATGTAAGCAATTCAAAAGTTTAATTGAAAAATTTTAATTCTTTACTACTGACTACCAATTTTTTTTTTTTTTTTTTTTTTTTTTTCTTTTTGCAAATACAGATACATAATGGCAGTACAGTAAGGTGTGCTGGAAAATTAGTTGGTAGATACAATTAGTAAAAAGTGCGCAGCACACACGAATTGCCTCGAAAACGTTGGTATTTGCAGTCATAAAGGTTCATTCGTTGCTCAGCCGTATAGATGGCATTTTAACAAACTAAATAGTTCTTGCTAAAGGAACTTTATCGCTTTGGCTAATGTCAATAACGTAGTACCAAATATCTCCTGGAATGACAAGTAAAGAGTAGTGAAAATTAAAAGAAACAAGCAGCAGTCAGCGATGCACAAATAGTTATTTTGAGCAAATGAAGACAGTGCGTTTGTTCAACTACACTTTTTATTTTAGAAATTGTTTAAAGTAGGTTGGAAAACGACTACTTTGTTGTGATTTCAAAGATGTCCGTAGCTGAAAGATATTATTTTCAAATTAAAAAGGTTGCATACAGCTGAATGCTCGGAATTTTGGTGAAGCCAACGAGAATGTAGGGCCTTTTAGGATAAAACCGATCTCTTTTGGATTTAAAGAGTTTGTTCGATTTTGTTGTTCGATTCTGTTCGATTCAATTATGCTGCTAAGTTTCATTGGAAAACCTATTAGTTATTGGTTTTTGGGTAGAAATGGTTTCTTCTTTTCTGCCGTGGAGATTGCTTGTCAGTCTGAGACATTATTTTGCTGTGAATGTCGAATTACTGAATAGCACTATGGGAGTGCACAGTTTAATTCGGAAAGTGAAGAAGTTTGATGAGGCAGAAATTTGGTCTTTTGAAGAACCTTCCTCATATTTTTCAATGAGCAATGTTTCAGCTATAGTAATTCGGTTGAAATAAAAGGTAGTGCACTCAAAATCTAAATCTGAATTCAAGATGTTACAGTAGCATTCAAGGCGCATCATAAGGCATTCTCAATTTTCGCACCGAGCTTCCCTTTGACATCGTCCTCTTTTGTTGTAAAAAAATTTACAGTATAATTTTTTGAGCATTTTTTTGGCTCTGTTTTAGTTTGGCGGCTCTACTGCAATTTTTTTGATGAAAATAAAGCCACATTTATCACGATTTCTGCTTACTGGCTTGATTGGCTGAAAACAAAAATAGGTTTCTCAAACTGAAAGAGCACCCTTCTTTTTTCAGTTGAAAATTCTCTGTTTCTTCAAGCAGAGGTTGTCGTTGTACGATTGAACTCTGCCTACGCTTTTCTACAAAAACTGAAGATGTACAAAATACGAATCTAGAAGGCTTGCTTAGAAGTTTGGAAAAGCAACTAGCCACCGTTAGAAATTTGCTCTCTACGAACAGCTCAAATAACTTCTCATCCTCCTAGTTTAACAGGTTTCCACAAGTTCTACAATAGTTTTTTTCGCCCCCCTTGGTTTTTCTGTGATTTACGATGACCCCGTCGCTACTGTTTTCCCTTAAAATTTCCGTCATTTTCTTCCAGAAGGCAAAATCGTTCACTTTTAATGTCTCATTACATAAGAAATGGAAGGGCTGAAGTAAGCAAGCTTTATCACACTGAAAAAACAGCGTAGTAATACTGTTCTTCAATCTTATGAAGTTTTCACTTTATAAACGGCTCCAAGTGTACTCCCGTGCGTTAAATTGTGTGGAAGACGGCTCTTCAGGAAAAGGCTACGCTGAAAGAATAGAATTCGGGACATTTTAAGGAAGGGATTAGGACTCATACCTGTTGAAGCATTTAAAAATTTTTGCGGGTATGTGTTTAATAATTTTGATCATCATATGTTCCCTCTTTGACAGGAACATACTGCATAGATTGCTTTTTGTTATACCAGAGAGTAATTTGAGGTTTACTTATCCACGTTAGTTCCCTCTATTACTGTTCCTTTTTGCAATCTGTGTGATGATCACCTACTCCATAGTGGGAAAGAGCACAAGAGGTACAAGTTTTCCCTAGTAGAATGTCGAATTTGTGTGCTTAACACTTACTCCTTACAGCTGTGCAGAGTGAACGTGAGCCGTCTGATAACTCGACTGTGGACGCAGAAGAGGATGGGGATGACGCGGGGGTAGCTGAAAGTGCGGACGTTGAACTGTCATCGAAAGAAACGCAAACAGACCACGCCGATTTTTTGCAAGTTCACGACGTTTATAGTAACTACAACGCCGAAACTCCTTCAGCTTCTGAGCCGGAGCTTGGTCGGTAGGTCACTAGTAATTAGAGGACTTGAATTTTATAACACAGAAATTTTTTTGGCTTATAACAGTATTTTTCAAAAAATGTTCATTATTATCAAATACTTGCTGATTAACTGAAATAGAATTTATTTTGCTAGAATTGTGGACCATCTTGTTGGCATATACGAAACTTTGATGAATTTATCCGATAACAATAGTGGTTTCTCCCCAGCTGAAAGTCGGGTTGAATTCGCAAATGCCTTTAAGGACCCACTAATCATTTGCAATCGTACAAAAGTTTGTTTCCATAACACAGACTTAATCTTATCAATATTTATGTAGATTTTCGGGTCTCTCAAAAAAAGTCACATACTTTAACACTTAAGTAGTCTGCAGAAATTGTGTAGTAGCTCAAAAAAAGCTTTTTATTCTCTAAGCAACTTACACTGTAGTCCTATTGGAGGTCATACCGACTGGTGAACGCATTGCAACCCTTGCCGATTCATTGTTTGACTGGAGGCGATGTTTTTTATTTTACATTGATTTCCTCAAACGATTCTCTGATTTTTTAGCCATGGGCTATCAGGACCAGGTAAGTGTGATGTTTTCAGATTCTCCACTTTTTTCTTACGGTGTGAAAATTTACAGACAAAATAGATTACATAAATGGCCAGCATCTTGATAAAGCACAGTCTTCCGCTACAGTCTTCACTTTGTGCTCTCTTGTCTCACTGTTGCTTTTACTGTTTGGTTTCACGGCATTCAAGGCATCTCTGCTTGGGGAGACCTAATAATTATTTTATTTTGTTCAACAGCTGTTTAGAATGAAAGCTTGATGTTTCAATTAATTGATATGTCTCATGTTTCTTTTAGCTTCTGAAAAGTTTTGAAGTTTTTAGCTCAAATCATTTGTTCACTGAAAAACTGTTCTGAATTTGAAGTGCCATAAAGACAGCGGAAGGTTAGCGTAGGCTGCTGTTTTAGTGTAATTGTAATTGGTTATTTATAAAGATTTAGACAAGCTTTCAAACACTTCGTTTGAAGTTGTAAGATGACGTTACTTTTCCTTTAAAAAATGTCCTCTTAAAACCGTTTAACTGATCGCATCAACGGTATAGTTTGAAAATGTGAATCTCTTATAGCCATTGTTGTCACTTCTTTTTATTTGACGTTTAGAAAGTCATTCAAGTAAGGAATATTTGGTAATCTTTTTGTGTCAGCTGTCTCCTTTGTTTACAATAAACTTTTTACACTTTTTCTTGTACACAATTGAAGATATTCTATCGTGTTGCACTTAGTGCGAGTTGATCAGTCGCTAAACAAAAATCTTCCCAAATTTATTGGCGTAAGCTGAATTTGTTGCAAGAGACTGTTGAATTTAGAGACAATTTAGTTCTCTGTATGTTTCTTACGAAATTATTCAAGCAAAGTGTCTGATATGTTTTGAATTTTAGATAAAGTTGGCGAAACGACGGTTTAGCTCGTTCCACTGGTGGTTGGTTAGTAACTGGTCTGCTCAATGCAACTGTTTGGGGGTATGTTATTCCAATGGTACCTTCTTCCCGCTGGATGCGTCTCAGCAGTTCTTCCCCGACTTAAGGTTATCAAATAACTCAGTTTCTTTTAGACCAAACATGAAGTATTAGATATACAGCGAACTCGTGCTCTGGTTATTGTTCAGAGGAAGTTTTGTTGATAATGTGGTTGTCCATCATTACCTGGTAGTTCTACACTTTTTGTTCTACGTGTTTTCTCAATTTTTTTG